AATGTTTAAACATTAAAAATGAGGTATTCTACTGACCAAAAATACTTTGGTTTCTGTGCAAGTAATCCAAATCTTCCTTTATTTTATTATGGTTGAAATCATGTCCCACAAGCAGCAACTTTCATGTTTTTGTGTCTCACCAACAAACGAAGCGGCGGACACGGCCTCTTCTTATCGGGGTTTTCTGATCAGCGCTGCCGATAAAGACGCCCTCCACCCATCTGATAACTCTGGGAGGAGCAGAGCTGTTGGTTTATAAGGTGGACCTGCTGGACCTGCTGACCACACGAGTGGAACAAACTTAATCAGGCAAAATGGTCAAATGGTCTGACTTYGAGCGCGCCACCATCAAGGACATCTTCTCCAAGCTTGACTCTGGAGACGTGGGCCGTGCAGCTCTTTGCAGGTTAGAAGATCTTTTTTCTTTTCCTGGTGTGAATCTAAAACTGTGTGCGTTTCTGCGAGTGATATTTTGAACGTTTTGTGTGTGTGTTTCCTCAGGTGTCTGACGGTCTACCCCTGGACTCAGAGATACTTTAGTAAATTTGGAAACCTCTCCTCTCCTGATGCGATAGCAGCAAATCCCAAAGTGGCAGCTCATGGAAAGGTGGTCATGGGCGGTCTGGAATTGGCTGCGAAGAACCTGGATGACATCAAGAACTCGTTCAAGGACCTGAGCATTCTGCACTCGGAGAAACTCCAAGTAGACCCTGATAATTTCAAGGTAAACTTYAGCCAGTTGGGAAGAATCAGGGATTGCAACAACGCCGCGGCTGTTTCCTGATGCATGCTGGATTTTTGTTTTTTCTTGCAGCTCCTGGCCGACTGTATCACCATCGTTGTTGCTGGTCAGATGGGCAAGGCCTTCACCTCTGAGGTCCACGCAGCRTTCGAGAAGTTCCTGGCAGTGGCGGTGTCCTCCCTGAGGAAGCAGTACTACTAGAGCTGCGGACACTCAATGCTCTGTCTTACAGAGAGGCAATGAGTTAATAAAATATGAGCTTTTTCCAAGACTGTGTTGTGTTGTTGTTGTGTTTTTGGCACAAAGGTTAGGAGAGAAGACAAATTTGTGTCATATAAATTAATGTCGAATTGATGGTGCAGCTGGCATAACAGCCAACTTGAGTTGAATTGGCTCCAAAAGCCATAACACTTATATTAAAGATACATTTAAAGCTTTTTTCTTAAATAGTTTCAATAAAACTTTTAACTGAGAGGAGTGTCTTATTGCAAAAACATGAGATCTGTAAACATAAAAACTATTCTTCATTTTATTCTTTTTCTCCCTTTGTACTTATCGAGTCACTAGCTTCTTTTTCTGAAAAAAAAAAACTGTTGCTTAGAAGGAACATTTAGTGGTAAAACTTTATACTTTTTTATTTTGACAATGACGATGTACTTTATTTCCAGACTCATGATCCAAAATACATAAAAAAAACTCAGACAACAACAACAAAAAAGCAAATACAATGTAACCCTGTCCTTTAAGGTCTATGTGTCAAACTAGAGGTCCTTGGGCCTAATCCAGCCCTCATTAATATTTAATCTGGCCCCAAAGGTAATACTTTAATTGTAAAAAGTTTCAGTCTGTGCATCACTTAACATGACAGCTGGCCAACCTTCAAGCCAAGAAAACTAAGTTTGAAGTTTTTAGTAATCTTTGATTTYGGTGTAGAAACTTGTTTATTTGTTTAAAGGATCACCGTTAGTTGAAGTGGTTACTAATCTTCCCGGAGTCCAACTGATAAAACACAAACATATTCATACCACACATAAAACAGTTCTGACACTGACATCTAATATGCACAAGATCAGTCATTTTACAAAATTACACAAATCAACTTAGATAAAATAAAGCAAAACAAGATTTAATACAAACAAGATATCAGTGATCTTTAAAACAAAAGTGTGCTTTTTAAATCATTTATGTTTTAGATAATTTATTCCATTCCTGAACAGCTCTACGATTATATATACAGCATATCTTTGTAACAAGTTTGTCTTAGCATGATTTACAAATAATGTTGTTCTACAAGTGTATCCAGTAACATGACTCTGATCAGAATAAACAAAGGCTGCAGTAA